AGGGGATCCTGCAGGTACAGAACCACCAGGCGCCCGTGTCCTCCTCCTCTGCAGCTCCGGGGTCAAAGCCAGCCGACTGCGCCCACCCAGAGGACGCCGGTGGAATGCCGGCGGCTCGAATCCCGGGAAAGGGCAGAGCAGCAGCAGCTGGGGGCGGCGAGCGGCTCCCTGGAGCAGGAGGAGTATTCGCCCCCTTCAGTCCTGGGGACGGGGGTGGGGGGCGACGCCGGGAACCTTTCACTTGGCAGATGAGGCAACGGAACACGGCTAGTGACTTTACCCAAGGTCACTCAGGTCTACTGGCTCCAAACACCATGCTCTTAACCATGATCCACTCAGGTCCCCACCCCCCACACTCCTTAGTCCTCCCCAGCTGCCTCACCCAGTCAGCCCAGCCTTTCCCCCACCCCCACCCCGCCCCACCCCTCCTCCCCCAGCGTGTCACTCCCTCCCCCATCTGGACAGTCCCGCCAAGCCTGCACTGTGTTCTCTCTTGGCAGTCCTCACCCCAGACTCAGGACTTACTACTCCCATGGCAGGATGAGGAGGGGAAGTGGTCCGGACCCCCTCCGCGAGAGCTTTCTAGTCCTTAAACTGCAGTTTGCAGATGGGGCGACCCCGCTCCAGGATTTAAATCCTGTGCCCTGCTGGGTCCATCCCCTCCTCCCGGCAGTAAACACCTCAGAATCCCTATTTCCAAGGCAGGTGGGCTGTCACAGACTCTACCACCTCTCCTGCTGGGCGGGCTGGCCTTACCTGACCGCTGTTCGCCTCGTTTGTAAAATGGGGCTAAAAATAGCTGCCTCGTAGAGCGGGGAGGATTCCATGCAGAAATTCCACCCGCTGTCTGCCACACTGGAGCCGCCAGGCGATGCCAGCACACCGAGTGGCGCGAAGAGCTCCCAGGTGCAGCTTTTATGCCCACAGATGAGTAAGCGGAGGCCGCGCAGGGAAGTGACTCTCAGGACTAGTCAGGATGACAAGCGCTGCACTGCCCACTCCAACACAGGTGCCCCCTCCGCAGACTCTGGAGAGCTCACTCACAGTGGGGTGAGCCGCCTCGGAGGCGGCAGCAAAGCTGGCTTCTGGTGAGGAGATTCCAGGAGGTACAGGGGCCCACACCTGCCTCACTGCTGGGGGCAAAGGGCAGCCTTCATGGGTTCCTCCCCAGAGCAGAGGCTGGTGACAAGCAGGGATGAAATTGGCCTTCTGCAGCCCCCTCACCTCTCTTTGACCAGGTCCAGTGGGATCCCTTCTTATTCTGATCCTCTCCCCACCCCCATACACACTGTAGGCTTGGAGGGAAGGGAGACTGACTAACTCTCCAGGGACAAGAACCCTGACTACTGCTGTTACATCAGTGACCCGTGCCCTGGGCACACAGTTCTTCTTAACTCCCTCCACCCACAACCATGTCTCCTAGGGGGAAATGGACCAGTGGCTGCCGTTCATTCAATTACCTGCTGTCCACACCCTGCTGGCTGAGTGGTAGGAATTCAGATCTGGAGCCTTCTCCTTCTAAGTTTCTAACTCCCTCCCCTCTCTGCAAGTCCCCCCACCAGTCACTCACTGTCTGTCACTCACTGTCCGTGCTGACTCAGGGTGACCTGTGAGTTTCCCAGAGTTGAGAGACCCATCTTTGCCCCAAGGAGCAGCTGGTGGTTTCAAACTACCCAGCGTGTAACCAGTTAGCTCCCTGTAAGTTATGAAATCTGAGAATAAAAACTTTCTCATGCCTTGGAGAATTTGCCCATGCTGCTCCTTTGGCCTGAGCCGCACCCTGACCCCTGGTCCTCCACCCCTAGCCCTCAGCGAGCTAATATGGTACAGGGCTTAATCCAAACGCTGCCTCCTTCCACAGCTTTTCCCAGACTGCCCGGTCCCCAATGGCACCACCCACTCCCTGGGCCCTGGAGCTCCAGTCACAGGCAGTGAGGTTATTTATTTACCTGGCGGTCTTCCCCACGTGTGGGGGGGGGGGACCTGTCTCACAGGGCTTTGCACAGAGCTGGAATGTGCGCAAGTCTCTACTCTGGGAGGGTGGTGAAGCGGGGGTTGGGCACTGCAGCCAAGGTCAGTTCCTGGGCTGCCTGCTCTCCATGAAGTCCTGAGGGACACCTGCTCCCCAGGCCTTCCTATCAATCTGCAAGACCCCAGGTGTTCCTGGTTCCTCTCCCTGTCCCACCCATCCCCATTCACAAGTCTGGTCCTGCACCCCAGCAGAGCCCAGGGTTCTGAGGAAGCCCACTGGTCCCCACCTGGCCCTCCTGCCCTTTTCTGGAGAACCCAGAGCACTGGGGCTTGCAGGCATCAAAGACGCGTTCTCCTCTCTTCCTGCTTGCTTGACTCTACCCCAGCGCCCTTCCCTACCTCATTTCTACACTTGGGGCCTCACAGTGAGGAAGTTAGATTTGGGTCCCTTCTGCACAATGGCCAAGGGCCCCTCCCCACCTTCCATCCCATCCCCCAGACCCTGCTTTGTTTCCAGATCTGGCCACAGCCCCGCCCACTGGAGGAAGGTAAATGGACACACAGGACACTCCCCAGGGAGAGCACCAGGAGCCTGGAGACTGACCTGCAGGCCAGAGCCCACAGGACACCCATGGACACCCATGTGGAGGAGCATTTTATCAAACACCACCCCAAGTTTGCCTCCAAACCCAGACCCTGACAGACAGCATCTTATCCAACCCTCAGAAGGGCCAAGGAGGGGGGTGTTGGTCGGTCGTGCCCATCTTACAAGTGGGAAAATCAGGCACAGAGAGACACAGCTGGAGCATGCCAGCACTGTTCCTGCGCTCACGGAGCAGCGACAGCCAGGGCTGCCCTAGCAGCTCTGCAATTTTCATATCAACCTACCTCATCTAGAGTTGGCAGGCCCGCACAGCAAGACCGCTCCTCCCACCTTCACACGCTCTGGGTCCTGAATGAGGTCACTCTCCACTGGGCTTTACATCAATGTGTGGTCCAAGCCCCGCTTCCACCAGGAAGCCTCCTCCAATTAGTTACCCCAGTCCTTGTCAGCCAGCCAACGGCCCTTCTACCATCTCCTCTTTGACCCTTGACCCTTGGTGCTGATATTTGTTCCCTCTGTACATCTGTCCCACCTCTCCAGTCAGAATTGCTGGGGGGGTGGGAGGGGCCTCCATCCAAAGCCCCTGCGAGGTGAGTTTACCCAACAGACTGCATGCTGAGGGATCTTGCTTGCAACCAACTGCAGATGTTGGCAAAATCCTCCCCTCTCCACTGCACAAGGGTCCTGCCAGAGGAACTCAACACCCACCCCCCCACCTTCGGAGGCAGCGTCAAGTCCCCAGTGTCCACGCATCAATTTCCACCCAAGTAATTGCGGCCCATCACACACATCATCGCCTACATTGGAAACGCTCTGCAGTTGTCATGGGAACTGCCTTTGCCTTCATTCACTGATCAGGCTTTGCAATTAGCTTTGGCAACGGAAGTCTGTGTCTACAGCAATCCCGAGGAAGAAGTCGAGGAGGGAGGGAGGAAGGAAGGATGCTTCTCTTCCCAGACACAGTAGTACCGGACAAAAGCAATATCCTATGGAAGATGGTCCCAAACCAGCCAACAACTCCATCTGTGGTTTCCAGACCAGTGGCCATGGCAACTCAGCCCATCCTGAATCCCCTTCTGGATGCTTGTGAGATGGTCTTCTACTCTGTGAACCTCATCAGTCTACCTCATCCTGAATTCAACCGCCTGGGACCCCGCCAGAACCCAAGCAAACAACAAGGGACCAGAGGATGCTGTTGAGAAGGGGGGACCATGAATGCTGAGTGGTTTAAGAAGCCTTCCATGAGGAATGAATACAAAGTGTCTTCCACCTTCCGCCCAAAGCCCCGTGATGTCTGTCCGCATGCTTCCACAGGCCCAGAGCCAGCCCCTCACGCTCGCTCGGTGTGTCCACACCCCTCTTCCTCTTGGAAGTCCTGTCCTCCAGCTTCACGGAGCACAACAGGGAAACACTAAGGAGTACTCGCCCTGCCAGTGTGCACGAGCCTCAGGAGAGGAAGGCTGGCTGGCTTGTGCCCTCAGGGCACCCCGCCCTGTGGCCCTAGCCCACGGTGCTTGTAATTATTAGTTCCCAGCTTGTTTCCCTTCCCAGACTGTGAGCTCATTAAGCAGAGTTACCGTTGCCTCCGCTCCAGCTCAGCTGGTTGTCTCGCAGCAGGGAAGCGTCAGATAGTCCCATTCCAGGTTTGCTGAAAGGGGCTGGGCCATCATCTGCGGG